CCTGCCAGGCCTCCAGCAAATGTCCAGCCAAGATCCTCATGGGACGCTGCCTCTGCACCACTCTAGACCACCTGCACACTTCTTCGCCCCTGCCGCTTTCTCCGTCCGTGGGCCCCTCGGTCTTTTCTGGTGGGGGAGGGGGTCTTCACATAGAACTACACTGGAGATCCTAGGTGGCTGCCTGGGGTCATAATGGAACTAACTCGGCCCTGCTCTTACAGGGTCCAGCTCGACGATGGAAGACTTTGGCGGTGCCATATAAACCAACTTCGCCGCTGTGAAATACCTCCAACGCCGCCCCAGCCGGCATCACCGTCACCACAACCACAGCTGGGCCCTGCCTGCCAGACGGCCACTCAGCAACACCAGCCACAGCCAAATGCGGCTCACCAGTTCCAAACTGTTTTCCCCACTCCTCTTCGCCACGCGCCTGTCGACCCGGCCGGGCACTTACCTTCAAACATTCATGCTCGGCCGGGGGCCGGGCCTTCAACTCCACTGCGTCACAGCAACATACCTCCGATGATGATGACGGATACTCCCTTACCAAGGCGTTCCCAGCACATGTGCAGAAGACCGCAGTATCTAAACAATTACGCATGCGCAATCTGGGGGAAAGGAGTGTTGCGTCCTCCCGACGCAGCCAGCAGCCGCGGCCAGAGCAGGAAGCAAAACTGATTGGCTCTGATGCGGCTGCTGGCCGGCGGGAGAATTGTGCCCTGCTGATTGGTTCCCCGCCTGACAGCTGTCAAGTATAAATAGCTGTCAGGCGGGCATTGTTCCCTGTTCGTTACTTCTTGTTCTGCACGTTGTGTTAATAAAGTCTTTCTGGTTGAACCCTCTCCTCAATGCCTGAGTACTTAAAAATGAGCCCTAGAGTCAGGAATGACTAGCACAAATGTACGAGGGGAACCTTTACCATTACTTACAGTTATATGGGAAGCTAACAAATGGTCTTGAATTCTCTGCAGGACTTCCTCCACTTCTGCATCCCTACTAAGCCTAAAGCTGAGGCCAGATTTTACTATAACAAGTGAGAACAATAAACCAATGAAATGACTTGCCCTCAGAGATTGTTGGTGCTCCATCACTGGAGACTTTTAAGAAGAGATTGGACAACCATTTGTCTGAAATGTATAGGGTCCCCTCTTGAGCAAGGGGTTGGACTAGAAGACCTCCAAGGTACCTCCAAGACCTTCTGTTATGTAGATCTATTTGATTTGCAAATGTTAACGCTTCTTCCAATGAATTCTGGAATGTCGTGGAGGTAAATTAATATCATATTCTCTATGATCAGAGTACTTGGATTCAATCTCATCACAAATAATAACAATGAATTGATGTATAGCTCTGAGCTTCTTTATCAAGTGTTTTACTTTTGGTCTGCAACAGGGTTTCTAGTCCTCCAAGTACTGTAAGGAATTTATAGGCTGGCTATGCATTAAGGGACAGTATACAATTGTGTCTAAATGAAATGTGTAAAAATTACTATATTCTCAAGTCAAGGTCAGTTTCTGGTTAATTCATCTGTTCAGTTTCCTTGTTTATGTAATAGAAGGGTTTACCATTTTTTTCTGGCATATTTTTTTGACCTAATCTCTAATTAGATCTCTAATTTCAAGTTGTCTGCCCTCCAAGTCCTAACCAGGGTTAAATCAACTTAGTTTTTACAATTATACAAACTTTACTAGGTGCTATTACTGGATAAGACTTGTCTTATACTTCATGGTGCTTGTCTTTCTGTCTACAAAAGATTTTGGATCCTGTTGATTAACACAATCTGAATTCAATGCTACAATATGTACGGATCTGGCCCTCTTACATATTGTAGTATTCAGCTCAGATTGTGTGAACTATTATGATACGAAATCCTTATTTGTTGCTTTACAGAATCTGTGGGATGTAAAAAGCAAATATTGCTAGGGTATGGAAGAGGTGTGTGTGTGGGGAACCCTTGCTTTACACACACATGTCAATAGAATGTAGTCCTATGTTCTATTCCAGGTGTCAACCAGGGGTGAAATCCAGCAGGTTCTGGAGAACTGGTAGTGGA